GGCCAGTGTAGATAGCTGGCAAGTTTTTCCAGAAAAGTGGCTGATTTTCCAGAAAAACTGGCCAGTCTAGACACAGCCAATGCGTATATCTACACTACAGGGCTATGTCTACATTAGTGCGATCTTTCGCAAAAGCAACTGCTTTTGTGCAAAAATTTGCTGCCTGTCTACACTGGTCACGAGTTCTTGTGCAAGTACACTGATATTCTAATGTAAGGAATCAGTGCTTCTTACGCAAGAACTCTGATGCTCCCGCTCAGGAATAAGCCTCCTTGCATAACTGTTCTTGCGCAAGCGGCCAGTGTAGACAGGCAACATGAATTTCTTGCACAAGAAAGCCCTAAGGTTAAAATGGCCATCAGAGCTTTCTTGTGCAAGAGAGCATCTACACTGGCATGGATGCTCTTGCGGAAAAGCACATCTCTTGCGCAAACGCACATGCCAGTGTAGACGCTCTTTTCTGGAAGAGTTTTTGCACAAGATCTTGCCAATGTAGATGCAGTGCAGAGTTTTTTCAGTAAAAGGGCCATTTTCCTGAAAAAACTTCAATTATGTCCACAGTGCAATCATGGTCTTCTGAAAAAAAATTGAAAGAACAGAGGGGCTTTTCTGACATTGGTAATCCTCATTCTATGAGGAAGAAGCCTTTGTCCGAAAAGTGTGTGTGGACGGGGAAGATGGAGTTCTTTCTAAAGAAGAGGAAAGAGGAAAAAGCACAGGTGCCCTGGTGGCCATTCCATCCACAGTAACCACAGCTGAAATGCAAGGTAGCGTCCATTCAGTGCAGTGCTATCTTTTGAAAAGGCAGATTGCTTTTTCGATGCACTTTGGAAGGGTGGACACTCTCAGAAGAAGTTTTTCCAGAAGATCTCTTCCAGAAAAGCTGCTTCTGAAAAAAACCTGCAATCTAGACATAGCCAATGTATTGTTAGGGGAAAGCTTAACTGGGACTAGAGTGGTACCTCTTGCTGGCCCACTGCACAAGGGTGAATTATACCCATAGTTTCTAGTATATCTTAACTGTACGTAGAGATTTGACAATTTAATGTGGTCTTAAGATAATTTGCATAGCTTCTGTAAGATATTCAGTACAGTCATTTCCTCAAATCAATTTCTATAATGTAATGGCCCTTTTTGAGAAGGCCTGGGACTAGAGGAGAAAATTATTCTTTTATTAACCTAAAACTGTAGTCCACATGTTTTCATGTGACTGGTGACTTTGGAAGCCTTAATTTTTGGGTTCTTAACAAGAGACTGCTTAAAGAGGCCTGACTTTCAGAGAGTGCTGAGCATCTAGTGAAAATCAGATTCCCCTGAGGAGCATACAAAAATGGAGATACCCAATATTACTAGTTACTTTTTAAAACCTTAACTGTGGTATTTACTGAAGAGAAATGCCATCAGAATTTGCAGCTACAGATAACTGTAGAAAATACTGAGTTCTGAATCAAGTATATATCAAAATGTTGGAAGTATCTCCATCCCAAGGTGAGAAATCAGTAACTCTTTGAAGCACTAGCAGGTCCCAAGAAACACATCCTGGCCAGCATCCATCTCTGGTCCTCATTTGTGTTCCCTTTCTGAAGGGACCAGACAACTAGCCTATCAAGAACAACTTGCAATGTGTGTGGGTCACCTTGTTGAGGAAGGCGTTTTTTTGTATCTAGTCTCTCCAAATTATCCTGTTTACTCTACCCATTTCCTAGTGAGTGGTGAAGGGAATCGAGACACTGCAATTCTGCGAAGAGTCATTAACTCACATAATGAGACCCAATAGAACTACTCATGGGAGTCAAAGCTTCTCGTGTTTGCAAGAGTGGCCCACTGAAATGTGCCAATTTGTAGGAAAGCCAACTCTCTGCACCAGAACAGGATGATAATTCCAGGCAATTTAGGGTAGCCATTTAAATCAAAGCACATTTCTTTGCTGTTGACAAAGTGAGTCATGCATTTTAGCTTGTTAATCCACTTTGGACCATCATACTCATCCAAATATCTTTACAGGTACTATGGAACATGCTTCCTACTCTGCTGCTATGAACCATTTTACCAATAGCTTTATACACATACATATGGTTCGGTATGGTCTAAAGCATTATACAGTGTTACTAATTTATGTGTTTGTAAATGTATGCCTGTAATACCTGACCCACTTAACATTTTACTGATTTGTTTTTTAAGATTTGTGGGGTTGGGTTTTTGTTGTTATTTGGGGTTTTTTTGGAGAGGTGCGGAGCAAATTTCCTACTAGTATTTGTGAACTTTTTAAAAAACAAAATAAGACGAAAAAAGGAACTCTATCATCACCACAATGACTTTTTGTATGCAGTAGAAGCAATATTGCCCTTTTCTGACGTATTCACAGTATGGAGAAAAAAACAAAACCCAGACACTGAACAACCACCAAGGTATATGTTCTGTTATGCTCACATTTGCAATTTATTTGGTATTCAAAGATCACAAAGTTTTGACTCCTTACTCATGTTTTAAAATTAAAGAAAATGGGCAAAACTGTATCTGGTGTCCTTGGTTTATGTCAACATTGCTCACTGGGTATTTATGTGGCCTCCACTGATATCTTTGAGGTATCCCTGTTTTGGTTGCGTGACTTGCCCAAAGTCAAAAAGAAAATCTGTGGCTTAGTCCAGGGTCTGAGAGTCTTGTGCCCTATCCATTCAATCATCCTGTCTACTCCAGCCAGGATTGTCTATAGCCCAAGAACATTTCCTTTGGCATGATACTACATTCTGATGGAGATCATCATTTAGCACAAGCTGATAATGTTGCATGTCATGCTGATTTAAGTGCTGATAGATGATCTGCTTCCCATTCTCAGCAGTCGATATGATTTATGCACCTATATTCATGCACTTGCCACTGGCAAGTGTCAGAGTGAGAAAGTTGGATTGGGTAATGACCCACCTGATCAGAGGATTACCTGAATCATATGGTTTGGTTCAGCAAAGCTC